TTTTCATATTTTTATCAAAGAGATTAAAAACTTTTATTGTTATAAATATGTAGGAAAATGGCCAAAAAGAGTAAACCTAATATTTATTATGCTATAATTGAACATTAGAAATATTAATAATTAAAATGACCTATTTCATTGTAAAAAAAAAACAAAAAACCTTAGGACAGGTAGTTTAGGCAGTGCTTACCTTCTCATTATATAACTTACAACGTGAAGTGAGTGCCTTTATTTATGCCTTGGCAAATTGCCATACTCCTTTCTTAGTTGGGATTGGCTGCCAATATTTTTTCTTTGCCCTTTTAATGTCATAAAATATCTATGTTTTTCTTTAATATGAAATGTTGACAGCATCATTTCTTCTGGATCATCTCCCTCCTTTTTGACACAACCACTTTTCTTATTTTGTACAGTAAGTTCTCCTTCACTAGGTTTCTCTGGCTGCATATCTAGAGTTGAATGGTGGCACTGTCGACATTCCATGGTCACCTTTTTCTTCTATAACTTCATTTACATTTGATTCAAATTTCACCTCTACAACCACTTTCTATTTCTCTGCTGAACTTTTCATCGTTGTTGGCCAATTTCTTCTCACGACCATCCATTTTTGTAACATGCTGCACAGGTTTAGGAGACAAGGGGGCAACACAGCTACACACTTTGCTGTCTCTGTGGGAACTGAATAGCAGATGCTCAGTGACCAATCACCCAAAGACACACTTTAAAAAAAAGTGACATAATTGGTCACAGATGTTGATAACCATCTGTTATTTACATAGTGATCTGTAGACTAAAAATCAATTAGTGGTAACTGAAATTAGAACTGTACTTGTTGGAGGACTGATACTATGTAACGAAACCATGGTAACTGAAATGTATGTATAGCAAAGCGATGCAAAGTGAGTGTACTTCTACTTTTCTTTTTGGTAGATGACAGATTCTTACATAGATTTTAATAATGCCACAAAGTTGGTCCTGGCCTTCATTCTGTTGGTCCTGAGTAAATACAACCAACCTTGTTATTAGGCTATCTCAGTATCTCAAGTTCTAAAATTTGAAGTCGTGTTACTTTGGAAAGAGTAGAGGGGACATGCTTCTAATTTTGTATTCTTCCCGGTAACACAAATTATTTCAAATATGTATCTATGTCTCTTATTAACAAATATAGATGAATAAACACCAATTTTCATTGATCACCTGCTCTGTTAGATTAGTCATCCCTGGGTAGTTTTAAGTATAAATTAACTAAGTATACTAAAAACTAAAATTTAGATGGCTAATAGACATAGAAAAAGATACTCAATATCACTAATCATCAGAAAAATACAAATTAAAGCACAATGAGATATCACCTCACACCTGTCAGAATAGGTATCATCACTAAATCAACAAACAACAAATGTTGGTGGTGATGTGGAGAAAATAAAAGTAGCACTATCTTATGACCCAGTTAATGCACTTCTGGGTATTTATCTGAAAAAAATCCAAAACACTAATTTGAAAAGATATACAATAGCCAAGATATGGAAGCAACCTACGTGCCCATCAATAGACAATTAGATAAAGATGTGGTACATATATACAATGAAATATTGATCAGCCATAAGAAGAATGAAATCTTACCATTTGTGATAGCATGGATGAACCTAGAGGGAATTATGCTAAGTGACATAAGTCAGTCAGAGAAAGACAAGTACCATATGATTTCACTTACATGTGAAATATAAAGAAAAAAACAAATGAGCAAACACACAAGAAACAAACTCAATGAGGGGGTTGAGGGGCTGGATGAAAAGGTAAAAGGATGAAGAGGCACAAATGGGCAGTCACAAAATAGTCATGGGATATAAATACAGCATAGGGAATATAGTCAATAATATTGTAATAACTCTGTATAGTATCAGGTGGGTATTAGACTTATCAGGCGGACTACTCTGTAAATTACATAAATGTCTAACCACTTCCCTGTACACATGAAACTAATATAATATTTGGTGTCAGTTGTACCTGAAATTTTTAAAATATTTTTAATTGGAATTTACAACATTAGCATATGATTTTTCAGCTCTCCATCCTTCATTCACAGAGCCTCTTGCTCATGTTGCTTTCAAACTATTATTTAGTTTCCATCATGCATTTAACAAGCTTCTCATAGTGTGACATCAAATACCTTTATAGATTAAGCTCCCTTTCAAAAATCTCCCTGGAAACTCTCTCCAGCTCTAATTAATTCTCCTAGTATTAAATTTTAAATACTTCTTTTGTGTCAAGATGCACCCACTTAGGTGCTACAACTTTTTTCCATCCTAAATAATTTTCCTCCACTCCAGTCCGGGTGAAGATATTCTTCACCTTGCCTGGTGACGGTGCCCTTCCTTGGGCCTCAGCTGGAACATGCCTACTTCTCCCAATATTCCCTTCTCTGAATGTGTGCTTATTTTTTAGGTCATTTGTAATGATTCTTGAGGGGAAAAATGGAAACTTTAAAAACTACTTTTAAAAGGTCAGTAACACTAGTCTTGGGAGAAAAAGAAAGAAAGAAAAAAACATCCTAGCACCCCAGGTTGTCATGGGGCTCTACAAAAGCAACATCCAACCAAATAAATCCAAAAACAATGAAAAAAAAGGGGGGGGGGAACCTCTTGGGCCTAACTTTACAACACCACACAAAGGCTTCAGTAATTGAAAAAGTGTTCTTCAAATTTAACCAAAGTTCATTTGGTGAATTCTGGTATGACATGTGTATATTTATGGGGAAGACAAAGTAGTCTTGGTATGTGGTGAGTACTAATTAGACTCATTCCTTGTCTTTCTTAATAAATTTCCTTTCCTAATACAAGACATATAATTTTCCTAGCAGAATATAATACTCAAAACTTCTTTGATATCTCTTATTTTAAAATCAAAATCCATTTCCGTTAAGTATTTCTTAGAGAGGTAAGGTGAGTGTAGTACCTAAAGACTACCACACTGAGGCGTTGTGGTGTATTGATTTGTGGCTGCCTTTCAGTTCACCACTACTTAAGTCTTCCTTATAGGTAACAATAGTAGTCAAGAAATTAAACTTGTAAAGCCCAGATGGAAGTTAAATAGTAAGCATCTCCTTTTCTGTGTGTATGGGTGGTGTAAGTTGATTGCTAAAAAGAGCCCTACACATTAGAAGGTTATCATATGTTAGAATGATAGGAAATTGAAAGTTACATGGTCATCTTTTTTCTAGAAACTCCACCTAAACCATAAGAGAAATGATCTATGTCCTAATACGGAAAGCATTCAAGCAAGGAGGTCTCTCAATCATCCTATTCAATACTGAATAGTCATCATAGTGTAATCATTCTCATTTTGACTGACCAGATGGAGAATGGCTACAATTCTTAGAGATTTACAAAAAAAATCACAAATATGGCATATATAATGCATTGACACCTGTTTACTTGTCAAAGGAAAAACAAGTTTTGGCAACTGTTGGAAATTAAGTCCACTTCAGAACAGAATACTAGAGAACAACTTCCTTACTTAATATATTATTTAGAAATAAAGAACTTTAAAAGGAGGCCATATCAATGACCTCAAAATATATAAAACAAAATTTGACAAAATTATAAGGAAAAGTGACAAATCTAATAATGTCAATTTTTTAACACAACTCCCAATGACTAAAACAGCATACAGGCAAAATTTTTTAGTAAGATTATAGATGATATAAACAATGTGTTTATGACTTAATCCAATAAACACATAGAACCCATACCCAATAATTAGAGAATGTATATTCCTTTCAAGTACAATCCCTCTAGATTAAAACATTACAGGTAACTGAAATTCAATCATATATGGAAGTTCTACTAAAGCTATTTGGCCAATAAATTATTATTGAATCTTAATTAAAGGAGAACAGGAGAAAACTATAGTAACATGTATCAACTTGTGTTGATCCCACAGATATTTAAATTATATTTAATAAAATTGTATTTAGTAACTTCTCTTGAATATATCTCTATTTTCATTATTATTTCTAATATAGTGATAGTTTCTAATAATAAACTGCATTATTGGATTGCTCTCTATGAATAGAATTCTCACCATGTAAATACAGATTGCTACTTATGAGGGGTTCAAAATCCTACTTAACTAAGTATAAAAAAAGATTGAAATTTTAAGTATTAAATTTTCCAAGAAAATATATACATAATTTAAGATTTAAGAATTATTTTATTTTGAATTGCAATCCAAATGGGTATAACCATAAAGGTATTTCTCCTTCCAATACATTGTCACCCAGTCCTGCTGCCCAAAGGCAGCCATTGTTACAAATTTCCTATGTGTTTCTCTAAGATACTTTACACATAGACAAACATGCATCAGGAAGAACTTTTTTAAAAAAGGAATGGTATTTCAAAATGTCTTAACACATTCAATGCTTTTCTACTTGAGGCCAAATCTATAGTGCAGAATCTTCAGACTTGGCGTCAGACACAATATAAGTAAAACCCAATTACAAGATCAAGATGAGAGAGATGCTGTATTGTTCATTAAACTTTTTATAGAAAAATCAGGAGAAAACTGTGTCCATGCAATAAGTTCTAAGACTTGAATATGGTACCAGTTAGACATACAAATTAAGTGACATATATAACTACTGTGTGTTATGATGTATCATGTAAAGATATCAAAGATATTAGGTAATTAGTTTGTCCACAATAGAATGGAATCTTAAAAAGAACTGATTATACAAAACCATTGCTTTCTTAAACAACCTAAAATTTAGCCAGATCTGAGACACTGCCAGGGGCTGTCCAATTAATCTGTTTTGTCACCTTTGCTAAAATGTTATTCATACTACAAAAGTCTCAATAAGGAATATGTAATGTCCAAGAGTATAGTTTCTATTACCTTGTTACTTTTAACCCAACGTATTTGGTATTTCCCATGGAGAGAAAGGATTTCTTTCTTTTTTTCTAAATCTGTATTTATAAGAAAACTGTCACCTTTGTCTTTAGGCTCTTCTAACATACAGGAGTGACCCAACCATGAGAAAAATGATGAATCACCTGTATTTTTATATCATGCCTGTGTTTAATGTTGATGGATACCATTTCAGCTGGACCAATGTAAGTCACTTTGCCTATCCAATCAAAAAAAGGTGGAGTAATTCATAGAAAACTGTCACAAAACAGGAAGGAAGCTGTGGGTAGCAGCTCCTGATCCCGAGCTACAAGGGAGACCTCACTCCTTCCCCCATGATAGCAACAACCTTTTGATTTTGTTTGTATGTTTAGCTTTGCATAAGATTTCATATAAATATCCCTAGCCAGTTTGACTCCGTGGATAGAGCCTCGGCCCTTGGACTGATGGGTCCTAGTTCCATTCAGGGAACTAGGTGAGAGGCAACCAATTGATGTCTCTCTCTCACACTGATGTTCCTCTCTCTCTGTGTGTCTTCCACTCTCTGTAAAAATCAACAGAAAAATATCATTGGGTGAGGATTAACAATAACAGCAGCAAAAAGATTTCATGTAAATAAAGATTTCTCCTTTTAAATAAATTGTGAAAAACCACTAGTTTAGTCCAGTTTATTCAATTTGCCTGTAAAGAAATGAGGCCAAGCTAAGGTAAGAGACGGCGGGGTCGTGGCAGACAATGGAGCATAAACCTGAGTGCCCAGTCCTCTTCCCACTCGCTGAATTTATTCTGTTCCAGGAGGAACTCTCCCCTAATGCTGGGATTCATTCACTGTTGTGCTACTAAAATGCATGTGAGTAACCTTGTGAGTATTTTTTTTCTGCAACGATGTTCTTAATTACATTCTAGGATCGATTTTGGAGGAAAACAAGGTCAAGGAACTCAAGGTTTCGCTGCCGTGGAGTGGATGCCAATCGTAACTGGAAAGTGAAATGGTGTGGTAAGTGGGGGACTAATTGAGATTCAGATCCAAAGGTTCCCACAGCTTTTCCACTCAGAAGTAGTGAGCCTCTGAGGACTCTCATGTAAGACTGATGTTTTTCTGTATGTGAAAACCTAATATGTACATTGTAGCTATAATGTACATATTCATGTACATAATTTACAAAACAAAATAAAGGGGTTTAAAATGTGTAAACATCAAGGATTTATATCTGTCAACCCAATCCTGAAAACTGAAAATTTAAAAACAGATGTAAAAGCAAAAAACTGAGGAATGAAGTCTTTGTCATTCAGAAACGAAAACAGGAAGTATGGTTTGTGGTATAAATCTGGTTAAATGTTTTCATCCTTTCGAAGCATCCATCTTATATAAAAACTGTTGTTTGAAATTTTAACCCTGCTATTTCTGGCTTCTGTAGATGCTTGCTGGCTTAAATAATAAGGAAAATAAGACTACTCCCATTTCAGAGAGGCCATTAAACCTTCCCCAGACAAAGTTATCAGTGCTGGCGTCAGGCCAAGTCTTTGGTTGAGGTCTCAAAGCCCCAGCACACAGGGCCCTTCAAGAACTTGCAAAGGGGAAAAAGGTAAAGATGCAAATTATGAACAACAAATATGCATCTATCAACAAGTGAATCTAAGAATCAAGTGAATAAATAATCTGATGAACAAAATGAACTGGTGATTATAATAATAAAATAAAAAAAGAACTTGCAAAGGGAACCAGAAAAAAAAACCCATATTTGGGAGACAAAGAAGGTAAAATCGTATAAATATGAGAAACTTCGGGTGTGATTTCACCCAGAATTTGAGATACATTTCCTCTGGGCCCGCGCGTAATAAACGTGACTCCATCTCTCTAAGCGTTGCTTGGTTCTTCTCGGGTATTTCTGTAACACTTTCACTGAGCGTAACAAGGATCCTGCCATCATCTGTCAAGATGATCAAAGCTGCCAGATCCTTGACGAGAATCCCCCAATCTGCCAGTTATGCACTGATTGGCCACACACATAGCAAGTATATTTTTGCTACAGTCCATATTTCATGGATATGGACCTTTCAAGTAAGAGAGGGTATTATTATAAGGAAGGAAACTTGCAAAATAAAAAAAGCAGGTAGCGTACAAGAGACAGAGAGGGAGGGAGAGAATTAGCCATAGCTAGCGTAGAGGAGGCAAAACTTTATCTTTACCCATCTTGAGATTTTAGCTGGGACTCAAAAACAAAAAGACAGTTTAACGAGGGAAAAACAATTTATCAGCATGTACAATGCATGCCACATGGGGAAAACGTCATGGAAAGTTACTCAAAGTGGCAACTTAGAACTCTGGCTTATCCTGCATCTCCAACAAAGAGCAATGAATTTAAGGAGAAATAGCAGGTCAGCGGAGAGCAGTTTTAGGCTCCCAAGGGCAGCCAACTGTGGGAAGGCAACTACATGGGAGAAAAATCATGGAGTAAAGTTTGATTCAGAATCCTCTGGTCCCTCTCTGGGCTAATAAGAGTCCTGTCTCCAAGAGAAGAATTTACATCCTGTCTTTAGGTAGAAAAGGGGGAGAAGGTAAAGAGAACTTTTCCTGTATTTGCTGCTGCTTCATTGCCTTCAGCTCAAAAATAATTTTTATGTCAAAGAGCATATTTGGGGGTGACATATTTTAGTTCCCTTCACTAGTGTCATATCTGGCAACAGGAGGGAGGGGCAGGAGAAGTATCATCAAAGTGCAGTTGTAAGGAGCTGCCCTTTGGCGGAGTCTTACCTTAGCTCCCCCAAAACATAGACCCTGTGTGACAGAGAGTCTTTGTTAGTCCCTGAGGAATGAGGCCTGTCATAACTCACTCATTCTGTGACACTTTGGGTTCTGTGTTAGATGCTACTCCTCCGGTCCCCACCAACCTCAGACAGAGTAACTGGGCATGGGCTTAGACTCCGCCCACATCTCGCTCCAGGGCACCTCCCTTCATCAGTTAGGACTGGCAAATAAGAATATCAGATAACAAAAAGAATATAGCTCTCAAATATGACAGATATGGTTTTATTCTACCATCATTGCTCAAATAATTTGGGTAATTTTCCTTAATCAAATAACAATACTAATACCCATCCCAAAGGGTTCTTATAGGAATGAAAGGAATTTACGTATGTTTAATGCCTAATTCAGTCCTAGCTTCAAACAGGCATCTAAATGTCAGTGGCCCACCCCTTCCCCCCAACCCTCCAGAATAGTCAGTTCACCTCTGAGCCTCAGGTCAATTGTATAACTAACTGCTTTTCCTTCAGGAGAGTGTTGTGATGATGAGCCATAAGGCGAGCTTAAAAGAGTTTGCACTCATGGGGGAAGAAAAAGCATTGCATAAGTACTAGAAAGTGCTAGCAGTGGTTCTCAACCTTCCTAATGCTGCAACCCTTTAATACAGTTCCTCATGTTGTGGTGACCCCCAACCATAAAATTATTTTCGTTGCTACTTCATAACTGTAATTTTGCTACTGTTATGAATCATAATGTAAATATCTGATATGCAGGATGTATTTTCAGGGGTCGCGACCCACAGGTTGAGAACTGCTGGTTTAGATTTAAAATATTTTTCTTCAACTTGAACTGAGACGACAAGCTTGTTCACATTAACTCCCTAAGACCACTAATTTTTTAAAATTCTGTGTTCCCCTTCTCTGATGGGACCACTGTGCATGCTCCTTAGCTATGTGTTCTGTTTCACTCATTGGCAGCTACCCACATCCATGTGTCATCCACATGATGCCCACCACCATCAGGGTGAGCGGCCTGAATGGGTAACTGAGCTGAGTAACCCTAGCAGGCCAGCCAGCTCTGCCTGCGTAAGGTTAGACTCCTGTTTATATCCAGTTACAAATAACTTTCTTGCTTCCCGTGGCTCTTCTTTCCTTACCCAGCTTGTTTCCTTCATACATATGAAGCCTTCTTTGATTTCTTAGTTTCAACCACTGTCCCAACTAGAATTCCTTTGATTCTTCCCATTTTTTGAATCATTCTGATTCTTTCTATCAATCAACAAGCAAGATGTTGACAAAGGATGATGGCAAATGCCAGTTGCAAAATGACCTTGATAGGCCGTTGTAAGGGATGTGGAAATGCAGACTGCCTGGCTGGGACCATCACTCCTTCCAAACATCTCCCGAGTAGATTCAGCTGATTTGACAGGCAAGCAGATGTGGCCTTCCTCCCTCGCAGCGTCAGACTCATTCCCCACAGCTATATGCTGGGTCGAGGGCATTGAAATAAATGAAATCCCTCAGCGAACCTCCAAATGAGCATAGTGTAAATGGTATGAAATGCCCAGGCCCATGGAAAACCCTACAGCATCGACACTGAACTGCCAAACAACTGCTTCTTTCTTTAGCGTCGGTGAGTCTCACACATCAGGAGTAGAACACAAAACTGCCATGAAAACTCCATCCCAAGAGAAGCATTACGCATTAGGGCATTAAGTAGAGTAGACAGCATACACATGGAAACAAGTACGTCTTTCCAATACGTCATAGCTCCCCCCGGGGGCCTTCAGGTCATGAAATGAGTATCATTGCACTGGAAGTCCAGCAGAGGGACTCAACAAGTCAGAATAGCGGTGGGAAACAAGAATAAATATATCCATTTTATACATTCATTTGCCAAAGTTAATTGAGCACATACCCTCTACTAGGCACTGTGGGGTTTTTCTCCCATCTTTCTATGCACGCTTTTTAAATAATTATAAGCACTGCTTTTTCCAAATTCAAATAAATACAGGAGAGAAGTAAAAGGCTTGGATGATATCCATACTTTAATCCCTAAATAAATCAAGTGTTGCCTAAATATAAATTACTATTAGGACAACCTACAGAATGAAAGAACATGTTTGAAAATCAAACATCTGATAAGAGACTTGTATTTATTCCAAATATTAAAAGAGCTCTCACAACTCAACAATAAAAAAAGACATATAACCCAATGTTAAATGTTCAAATGATTTGAACAGACATTTCTCCAAAGAAGATATACAAATGGGAGTAAATACAAAAAGATGCTCAACATCATTAGCCATCAGGGAAATTCACATCAAGGTACCACTTCACACTTACTAAGATGGCTATAATAAAAAAGAAAGACAATAGCAAGTGTTGGTGAGGGTGTGGAAGAATTGGAACACTCCCACTTGTTGTTGGGAATGTAAAATGATGCAATCACTTACTTGGAAAACTGTTTTATAGTTCCTTAAAAATTTAAATACAGAGTTACTATATGGCCTAGCAATTCCACTCCCAGGTATATACCCAAGAGAAATAAAAATATTTGTCCATATGCTAACCTGCACATAAACATTTACAACAGCATTGTTTATACCGGCCAAAAAGTGGAAACAACCCAACACCTATCAGCTGATGAATAGATAAACAAAATATGGTATATCCGTACAATGGAATATTACTTGGCCATAAAAAAACAGTAAGTATTGATACATGGATGAACCTTGAAACATAATATTATAGGATTACATTTATATGAAATGTCCAAAATAGGCAAATCCATAAAGATAGAGAGTAGTAGATTAGTGGTTACCAAGGGCTAGGAAGAGGGGGAAATGAGTATTGCCTGCCAATAGGTAAGGGGTTTCTTTGGGGGATGATAAAAATACAGGAGTGAGCAAAAGTAGGTTAATAATAAATAAATAAATAAATAAACAAATAAATAAATAAAAACAAGAATGAACTGTGTTTTTAATTTTGCTCATCCTTGTATTTTGGAATTAGATAGTGGTGATGATTGAGAATATGCTAAAATCCATTGACTTGTACACTTCAAAAGAGCGAACTTTATGGTATGTGAATTATAGCTTAATAAAGATGTTCTAAAATTTTTAATTGCCATTTAGGATCTAGTTAGGCACTTAATGAAATATAACTACTCTTTGTAGAACATTCAATGACCTAATATTGTAATTAGGTATAAAATGGAGAAAACCATATTTTTTTGCAGCCCAATTACTA